GCTGAACAGCGTAGGTAGCCAACATACTTGCAAAACTTTTGATTTCTGATATGAGACATTCAGATTTATAGTGTCAGTCAAAACCCTATTGACTTACTGGTGACGGCCCATTCCCCGTGCTTAGTAGCCTAAGACTGAGCTGATAATGACATCTTTGCTGGCTCCTTCTCTGCTTACCCCTCTCTAAATTTTGGAGTCCCCTTTTCTCTACCCACAATCTGCCTTCTAGGTTGCCTTTTCTAGTCCCACAGCCTTAAATACATTCTACTTGCTGCTGACACCCAAACGTTTATCCCCTGCCTGTCTTTCTCCTGAGCTCCAGGCTTTCATATCCTCCACTGGACACCTTTTCTCAGGGAATGGACAGATGTTGAAAACTTCAGTATTTATAAAACAGAGCTATCGGCTGTCCGACCCCCAGTGTTTCTAATTCCAGCTGATGTCAACATCTAGCCCTGCCATATATCTAGGACCAGCGCTGGCTACCACCACATTGTGGCTTCCCCTCTCTCTCTCTCCATGTCCTGTCAGCTCCATATCCTGAATCTGTTTTTGTTTTTTTTTTCTCCATTATCATCAACACATCTTTCTTGGACCTCTAGTTTCTATTCTTCTTTCCCAAAAGTCCCTTCTCCACACAGCTCAAGCGATGCTTCTGAACTGCAAATTACATCACGTCACTCCCCTGAGTGACAAGTGAGTCCCCTCCATCCTGCAAACCAACTCACCAAGTCTTTACCCATGACCTAAAGAGACCTCCGTCACCGGGCCCCACAATCACCTCTCTCCTTTTTGTCTTCTCTTCCCCTCCTAAGGCCTCTTACCCTTTCTCTCCGCTCTTCATTACGCTTTAGCTCAGTAATTTCCCTTTGTTCTTTAGGGACACCAAGCTTGTCGTGCCTCGCAGCCTGTGAACCTGATGTCCCCACACACAGACTATTCATCCTCTTCTTCAGACGGATGGATGCATGGAGGGATGGATGGATGGATGGATGGACGGCGAATGTTCTCTGGCCTGGGAGTTTCACTAAACTAATGAGATATATTACAAGATTTTAATGCTTCGGGATTATAATATTTCACTCAAGATTCCAAGTAGCATGATTACTTAGCCCAAATTTAAATACTCAATATTATTTTAAGGAAAGATATTTACAAGCGAGATGTGAGAGTTCTTGAAAGATTGCAGGTATTGATATTTTTGGTCCTCAAATGACAACTGCTTTGTCTGCATAACATGTTAGTCCTGACAGGAAGTACTAGGCACTCCTTACCACTTGAATGGAAGTAAGAATGAAACGAAGGAAGGAAGGAATGAAAATAAGAGCCACACAGGAAACCATGTTTATTTTTTACCACAAGTTAGCCAAACTCCCACACCTAGGCTGTGCATTTCCTCTGTTAGGTATTATAAGGCACAGCAGTAAAATGACCTTTCCTCCCTCCCTTTCTCCAGATCACCCTGCTGGGTACAGAGTATGTGGAAGGTTGCATGGAGCCCAGCTCGAGATAGAAGAAAAAGGGTTCCCTTTTGCATCTAGGGCCCCTCAAGAGAGTCATTTTGAAGTCTTCCTAGTAGAGAAGCCTGTAGCTGAGTAGCAATGGCTGTGCTAGTAAAGAGAAAGAAGCATTTGCTGGAAAGTCCTAATTTAGCATTTCTGAGTCACATGGTAGACCAAGTGGCTGTGGAAAACTATTCTGTAATGAAATGTTGCCGAAAAAACAATAGGACCAAAGCCATGGGATTCACAGTGTATTCCTAAACTCGCACACTACAGCTGGTCACGTTTACCTTCAAATGATTACTTTGTCTGTGATTTCCTCTGTGGACATTTTTTTTTTTATCCAAAAAAATGTCTTGAGAGACTTTGAAATGTAAATTCCTGTTCTAATTTAGACACTCCTTTCAACTCCCTTTAAATTACTATTATCATACCCAGTCTGCCATAATGATTCACCTTAATAGGCCAAAATGTCTCCAGGGTACAGGCCTTTAATAAAGATCTCAGACCAAGAGATGTAATTTGGCCAGCATGAAGTGTTCCCCAGCTCAGCTGGGCCTTGCCCCCACCTGCACTGATCCTCCCTTCCCTCCTTAGGATTCTCTCTGTGAGGGGGGTACTCTTCTGTTGTCTTATATTTCAGACTCTTGACCAAGTCTTTCTAACTATGTGCACCTAGCCATTCCTGGTGAAATAGCATCACAGCTGTAGGGGAACAGAAATACTGGACAGATATTCACCTTTGTGCTCACATGAGCAACAGAGCATAGGCAACCATACAGCAACGAGTAAGGCTGAAGGGGACGCAAGGCGTAGTATGATTACCTGGCCTTAAGGTTCCAAACAGAGCTAGGAGGTAAAGCGACTTCATGCCAAGAAGATGAGATTGGTTAATCTACAGTGATATGATATATAGGTGCATCAGCCCATCTGCAAATCTTATATATACATTCTATACATTAAGACTCTTGACTTGAACACAGGATCCCCACTAGGATAAGATACACTCTTCCCTTTCCTAACCATGAATCCTCTGGAACAATTAGCTTACTGGTCTCTGTTACATGCATGTCCCCACCTGTCCCAACTAGGAGCACTGCTTCCTTGAACCATTAGGTTCATGATCCTGTATTACGCTTTATAGACCCAGAGTCACCACAAGTGAAGTTTGAGGCCACTTGAGAGAGCAAAAGTACGCTAGCTTGTGGATTTTCTTTTTTAATGGCAGCTAATTTTTTAAATCTGATACAAAATTATTGCATAGCTATTTGTAAACAATTGAAAAAATTAGCACATAGAAAAGAATTAAAATAGCCGTAATCTGTATTCTTCCGAGAAATAGCCACCATGGTAACTTGTTAAAACTTGCTCCTAAGAAGATGTGGTTTTTCTTTTAAACGGAGTACTACTCAGCCACAAAGCCTGAGAAACTAGAGTCATTCATAGGAAAATGGATACATACACGACACGTGTGTAAATACTGAATAGTTTCTCTGGTGCGAAAAACTAAAAGTGTAAATAAGCTCCAAATTGTATAATTCACAGTGCAAAATAGGAAGAAAAGGGCTACGGGTGTAGGGGAAGTGGGAAGGGTAGGGGAAAGGAAAGAAGGGAGAAGAAAAAAATATGATAAAAGGAAAAAATGGAAACAAAGTCTTTGTAAATAGGGGAGGGTGGAGGGAGTGAAGGGAGGGCAGGGGAATGGGGAAAAACTGAAACTGAGATCTGTCATGTAAAGGTACAAGATCCCAATGATAAATATAACTGTGCTATATATATTTTTAAGTACCCATAAACTGAATGAGAAAACAAAAACTTGCTCGTAGACTTTTTTCCTTACATAGATGACATGTCTTATTTAAGATGACTCCATCCACAAAGTAATATAAGCTTAAATAGTTTTTTTTATGTCAGAAAATATTCTACTAAAAGTTTCAATAGCTGTATGATACAGATGAATTTTCAATTTTCATTTCTATAAAAAAATGTGTTTATTCTGCCTGCAAACATGCCTTTGCAGAAATCTGTCATTCCTTCCTTAAAATGGAGGCCTACATTTGGAATTGATGAAGCAAAGCATATGTGCATTCATAAATCTTTCAAGACATTGCCAAATTGCCCTGCGGAAATTTTGGGTTATTTTTCCCTCACTTCAGAGGTCTAGGAACAAATGCTGTTCTTTGTTCCAAAATAACCCCGTATGGGGAAACCCTGCCACACCAACCACACAAACTAAGACTGGCTATTTGCATTACAGAGGAAGTCCTAATTACAGAGGGGTCAAGAGCAAGGGCCTTAGAATCAGAGAGTCCTGGACTCAAGTTTGTGGCTCTTCCATTTGCTGTGTGTGAGAATTCCACAAGTTATTTAAAAAGAGAAAAACTGTGTTGAAGTCTGACTTCCATGCAATCATATATGCAGGTATAGTGTATACAATTTCAACCATAAGAAAGGTGACATGGCAATACTAACACGAGGCAAAGTAGACTTCACCATAAAGAGTACCATCTGGTAAGTTTTGCAATATTTATCCTCATGAAACCATCCCCATCTTGGAGGTTGTGACCACATCCATCACTCTCCAAAGTTTCCCCATGCCCTTTTGAAATTCCTCCCTCCTGGTTTTGTCCTAGCTGCTACTATTCTTTCTGACATTTTAGATTCATTTGCATTTCCTGGTATTACATATAAATGCAATAAAGTAATGTGAACTCTTCCATCCTCATTCTTTCAGTCAGTGTAATTATTTTGAGATTCGTCTGAGTTGCTATATGTATCAATAGCCCATTCCCTGTTGTGGTGAGTATGGAGAAATAGCTCGCTTTCCCATTCATGTGCTGGTAGACATTTGGGTTGTTGCTCATTTTTTACCATTACAAATAAAGCTGTGATGAACATCTTTGTGCCGCTCTTTATTTGGACACATAGCTCTTTTTATCTTGGGTAAACAGAGTTGCAGTGTTTGAATCAAACACTAAGAGGATATTTAACTTTTTGAGAAGCTACCAGATGCTTTCCAAAGCAACTGTACCATTTAATATCTCCACCAGGACAGTGAACCTGTTCCAGTCCTTCTTTCATGTCCTTGTCAACACTTGACACTGTCAGCCATTTCAATTTTAGCCATTATAAATGTCATACGGTGGAACCTCTTGATCTTAATTTACATTTCTCAAAGGACTAATATTGCTTGTTTACCACTGATATTTCTTTTTTGGTGTAGTGTCTGTTTTAGTCACTTTAGTTCCTGGGACAAAATACTCAACACCCAAAACTGAAAGGAAGAGAGGTTTATTTTGGCTCACTTTTCAGCCCATAGTTGGCTGATGCCAAGGCAGGATGGCATGGCACACAGGCATAACTGAGGAACAGTTACTTATCTCATGGCAGCCAGGAAGCAGAGTGAAGCGAGGAGCCAGGAAGAGAGACATACCCTTCCGGGTCGTGGAGCCAGGAAGAGAGACATGCCCTTCCGGGTCATGCCCATTCCCCCAGTAACCCGGCTCTTCTAACCAGAACCAACTTCCTAACAAGTCAGCTACAATACCCTCATAATCCAGACATCTTCCAAAAGCCCAGGTTGTGTATACATGAGGCTCTTGGGGGTCATTTAGACATAACAATGTCTGTGTGATGTTTGGTTAGTTTTAAGTAGGGATATTTCCTTACATTTTTGAGAGCTCTTTATATACTTAGATGCAAATTCTTTGTCAGATATGATTTGCAAATATTTTCTTCAGTGTGTAGCTCGTGTTTTCAGTCTCTTGCCAATGACTTTTCAGAAGCACAAATTTTGAAGCCAGATGCCGTCCAATTTATCCACGTGTTCTTTTATAGGTTGGGCTTTTGATATCATATCTAAGGAAATCTTAGTTAATTATTTAACTTCTTTAACCTAAATTTTCTCAGACGCAACATGGAAATAGCAACATCTACCTCCCAGATAACACAGATAAATCATTGACCCAAATGGTGAGTGCATCATGAAGGAGAGTTTAAATACGTGCACTTTCTCTACATTCTACTTATTCTCTATATTCATATCGATATGAATTTTGTGAACTGGGAAAATTCATCTACAGTCTCTGGGCTTCAGATTCTTGCTACATCTTTGTAGAGGAAAAAAAATGTATCTGAACTTTAAAAAAATATTTATTGCATAATTTCTTCAAAAATGCCAGTTTATAGAAAACAGTATTCCAGATTGCATCTATTCCAGTAAGTCTCTCCACTTCTGCCTTGCCCTCCCCAGTATCTCCTTGATGGAGTAGGCAGAAACTTCCTCCTGTAGCATAAATCAGAGGCCACTGATCCTCTGCTCTGCTCAGAACCACCCAGCCTCTTCTCAGCTTCTCCAGAATAAACTCTCTGACCTCCTCTCCCAATTTTCTCTGGGGCAGACTCACTGGCTTCCTTGCCAGTTGCCAAGTACACCTGGAGCGATGCTGCCTCAGGCCGCTGCAGGAGGCCTTCCCTCTTCTGGACACAGTCACGGGGCTCCCTGCCCGGATTCCTGCAGGTGTCCTCTCAAATGTCATGTTCTCAGAAAGGCCTTCCTTTGCCACAGTACTAGAAACAATGCCCCCAGCGCTCTATCCCCTCAACCTGTTTCATTTTCCTCTCTAGAACCTGTCCCACCTGACACCATATATTTCTCTGCTAAATGATATAATGCCCATTTTCCCTACCCACATTGAACCCTTCATTTCAGTCACTGCAGTATCACAGTTCTTGCAACTATATAAAACAGTTTTGGTTTTTTTTTTGGTACCAGGGATTGAACTCAGAACTTTGCACTTGTGAGGCAGTCGGCAGAACCATTGAGCTACATCTCCGGCCCTGTAGAACAGATATTTAACAAATATTTGTTGAGTAACTGAGTGAACCAGATAAAACAAGATATACCTCTATTTCCAGTGTCTCCACTTGAATGATGCAATCCCTAAATCCCCTCTACCCTGAGAGTAGACAGCTGGTGACACAATCCCTAAGAAGAGCTCAGGCCTTGCACGCCGAGTCCAAGACTCGCCTTCCAAACTAGGCGTGGGCTGGCAAGAAGGAGGGTTATTATGGACAGAGGAATTAGAGGAAGTGAAGAAGACACCTCGCCCAGAGGAAGTCAAAGTCTTAACAACTCACTCCGCTTGTGTTTGGCATTGATATTCCACTGTGTCCTGTGGAGGTAGAAAAGATGATTTGGGAAGCAAGGAGGAAGACTCAGACTCCTTTGCCTAAGGTGGAACAAAATAGAAATCTTCACTGGAGAGGCTATAATTGTTCAGGGACCCTCCGTCAAACAGGATTCAGGACACTGTCTTGGACAGAGAGCATTTCAAAGACTTTGTCAGCACAGCACAAGCAGCTGGTGCAATAGCAGCACCGAGAACACTCAGGGCTCCCAAACCCTAGGGTTCTGGCTTCCACCATAGGAAATGGCACCTGGGTGGTAAAGGAAAGGGAAGTTCAAATGTTGGAAGGAAGGTATGGAAATGTCAAGGGGGAGAAATGGGCAGCTTTAAGCTTCTTTGTCTCTACAACAAAAGAATACGGCTGGTGTGGTGGGACACCCTGTAATCCCAGCACTCTGGGAGGCTGAGTCTGGAGGGTCACCAGTTCAAGCTCAGCCTGGGCGACTTAGTGACTTAATGAGATCCTGTCTCAAAATAGACAAAAGGAGTGAGGTGGGGAATGTAGCTTGGTGCAAAAAGCTTGGATTCAATCCCCAAAAGAGAAAGACGGAGACAGAGACAGAGAAGGAGAGAAGAAGTTCTGTCAGGCCTTTATTAGGTAAAAACTGAAATATAATAATGAAGTGGGTATATGGGAGTTTCTGGAAGTTTCTTGAGGGAGCCTTCTGGCATGAGGTTAACCCTCAAAGATGTCTGAGTCATTTTTGGTTTCCTCTGGAGCACGCCCCGACTCAAGCATCCTAGATAACTTTTTTATCTGAGGAATGACCCTGTGATGCCTATGAAAGAATGCAAGGACTGGCAGGAAGCTAACAAACGTGTAATGAGTAGATCACCACTACCAGCAACCAGGACTCAACCCCATTTGGGTCCTCTAAAGAGTGGGTGAGGTATCTGAAGATTGCTCCAGAGGTTTCCACTCTCCAGCATGATGGGTCTGCTCTGCGCTCAGAGATGCAGGGGACTGTAGATAAGTATGGGAATGAGCCGCATTGACCTCCATGCTCAACAGAGAAGACACAGGCAGAACACTAGGCATATCTGGTACATGCCAAGAAACCTAGGATTCTCTCACTGACATTCAATTGTTCCAAAAATCTTCTCTGAGGGCCTCAGTTACTGAGATTCCAAAGTTACTGGAGATTTCAAAGTAAATAAGACTCACCTTCCTGGATCATAGGAAACACTGGAGGGAGACAAATTAGAAAGTAAAAAAACAAACTGCGAAATTGTATTCTAAGAGAGGGCAGTGGGAGCGCATTGAGGGCAGCTCTCCTGCTTCGGGATGGCCAGGGAAGGGAGGAAAGAAGAGGAGAGGTTTAGGCTGGTATTTGGAAAAATAATATACCGGATTGCGCTTATTTCAGTGGTGAACTAAAGGTTGATAGCAGAGAGGGGATGTTCCAGAGAGAGGAACATGCTGATAGAGATACTGCATGTTCAAAGATCCCGAGGCAAGAAGCATTTGGAAAAACTGCAGGAAGGTAGAATCTCAGCTGGACCACAGAGTATGAAGTAAGAAGTAGTGAGCTCTGAGAGAAGAGAGGCACAGGACAGGAAGCCTTGTGGTCTCATTAGATGTGGAATTTATATTAAAGGCAAAGGGAACTCACAGAAGGGTTCTGAGCGAGGCTGTGAGAGGATGAGAGCAATGTATGGAAGTGACCCTCTGCTTCCAAGATGAAGAGCAGGAGGGCAGAGAACGGGGCCAGTTGTGGGGCTGGGTACACTCATCTGGGAAAGACACGCTTTGGGCTTGGGGGTGGAATTCACATTGCTTTGGCAGACACTTAGCACCCATAACAGTTGACATTGTCTGAATAAGGAAGCCAAGAAGCAGAAGTCATGGAGAGAGGGAAAAAAAAAAGCCATGGAGAACTCCTGGGTTTAAGACCTAAATAGTAGGGAGAATAGTAGTGCTGTTCACTAAGTGTGAGGTCCTTGGAGGAAGAATAAATTCAAAGGCAGCAGGTCAACTCACTCTGGCTTGAGGAAACTAAAAGACATCTATGCCAGGTTGAATAGTATCTGTCAAAAATTTATGTTTGCTCAGAATCTGTGAACATGACTTTATTTGGAAATAGGGTCTTTCTAGATAGAGGTCAAATAAGATTGAAGAGGGAGGTTCTGATGCAACGAGTGTTGCCTTTATAAGAAGAGGGAAATTTGGATGCACAAAGGCAACATGGTCATGCAAAGATGGACGTGGAAATTGGTATTAGGCTGTCACAAACTACAGAATGCTCCAGATCTCCAGCTACCATAAAAACTAAAAGAGGTAAGGAAGGACCCTTCTCTTCCTTCAGAGGGAACGTGGCTAGGGCCAGCACCCTGATTTTGTGCATCTAACCTCCAGACTGTGAGACAATGAGTTTCTGTTGTCTCCAGCCACTCAGCCTACCGTAATGTGTTCCAGAAGCTCTAGGAAACAAATATAACATGGAAGAGGAAGCAATCAGTTGTGGTTAACTACAGAGATCTGGAGCTCAGAAGCGAGGCTATGCCTAGTCTACCGATTGCAAGTTAATAAAAGCTAAAGTTGCAGAAAAGAATAAGACTGCCTGGGAAAGAGTACATAGACTGAGGGGGGGAGGGAATATATTTATATATAGAACAGAACTATAACCAATATCCCTGATCAGGGGAGGAGTAACTGCAAAGAACAAGGAGTTTGGGAGAGTAAGGAGAAAAAGATGTCCTTGTTTGACTAGCACAGAACGAGATCTGCTTTTCAAAGCAGATAAGTTAAAAGTGAGAGATCTGGTGAGGATAAATTAAGGAAGCTAATGAAACTGGGGTTAGGTTGAACCTGGGAGTTCCAGAGGCTGAACAAACAGAATAATAGTATCAGTATCTAGCTGTGATATAGGGAGAGCTGTAGAGCAAGAGTTTAGGGTACGGAGGACCAAAGCATCAAGTACAGGTTGAAAAACAAGACAGGGCTGACCCTCAGACTTCACAGTCACACTCTCTCAGGATGTGTGGAATCACAGCAAGCTGTGTCCACAAAACATCAGCACAAACAGCAAGTCAGCTCTACCGCATTGCAAACAAAATAGGCCCTGTTGCCCGTGAGAGTTGAATGAACCCCCAGAATTAAAATTATTTATGGACTTGCTATAAGAGGCCCCTGACACCCTGGAATCCCATCACTTCTTTTCAAAATAGAATTCCTTTGAACTGACTGAATTAAATTTACTGGAGTTATTTGTCTTAACAAGCCCATATAGCTTTGGGAGTTTTGCTTTATTCTATTACAGCCTATAAAATGCTAGTAAACATGGGTTTTCTTGCAGTCTCTCAGCTACTTTAGAAGAAACAGAAAAGAGAAATTTCACTGTAAACAGCCCTCATTGAATTTTGCTGATGATTCTAAAACTTTCCCTCTGGTGCCCAAAAGTAATTACATTCAGTTGGGGGTGAAGAAATCTTTGTTTTCTAATTATGAAACAGATGTTTTCCAGAAGCAATGATCCCTGCACCACTAGTAAAAATAATTTAGCAAATTGATTTTTGATTTAGGAAACAGCTGTGTGATTCTGTCACAAGAAGGGGGGGGTGTTGTTGTTTATATGGACCAAATGTACTTCAGAACAGTTTTTTCCTTATTTCCCAGAAGTCTGAGATTCCAGGAATCAGTGTGGGTGTCTGTTATTTCTGGCTTTGTGAAAGCAGCAGGACCCGAGGGACAGTTTACTTCGGCAGAAGAGGAATTTTGAACACACCTCTATTGGATCTCAGGACCTAAGTACATCTCATGTATTGTCTCTTCTATGACAGTATTAATAACTTCCTCTGATCAGTCATTCACTTAATACTGAACTTTGTTGAGCATCTTCAATTTCAGGCATAGTATCACCACTGCTCTAGTTTGGAAGCCTTCCCCCAAAGCTCATGTGTTGAAAATTTAAACCCCACCTTCTTGCTTTGATGGTATTTGGAAGTGATGCCTTTGGTATGTGATCAGGATTTGGGAAGGTCATGACAGTGGAGTCTCCTGATGGCATTAGTGACATTATGTACAAAGGAAGAGAAACCCAAGCCAGCAGCTTGCTGTTCCACCATGTGATGCCCTGCACCCTGTTGGAATCCAGCAAGAAGGCCTTCACCTGAGGCAGGGCAGGCTCTAGAATCATGCTCTTGGACTTTCCAGATTCCAGAACTGTAAGACTTTTTTTTTTCCTTTTACATTATCCACTCTAAGGTAGTTAGTAATAGCAATAGAAAACGGATTACAACCACCCCGCTACTTCCAGTGGTTTCTCTATTGCCTACTAAACTAAACGTCAGTGCCTTCAATCTTTCCAGATTCCAGAACTGTAAGACTTTTTTTTTTCCTTTTACATTATCCACTCTAAGGTAGTCAGTAATAGCAATAGAAAACGGATTACAACCACCCCACTAACTACTTCCAGTGGTTTCTCTATTGCCTACTAAACTAAACGTCAGTGCCTTCACTGGGGACTAGGACCCTCCACACGTGCTCTGAGCTCCCTTTTCCATTCTTAGCTCCTGCTGTGTATGCTCCGTGGCTGTTCTCCCTCCTCTAGTCCTCCCCACAGAGGGACTTCTGAGCCAGAGGAGGTCAAATTAAATGCATATCTTAGGACCATTATCCTGCAAGAACATACTGTTGGGAGTACATGTTCTCCATGTACATCCAGCTACAAGCAAAATTGTTCTTGCAGACTTGCAGCCGTCAATTTTTCCATTTTCACCAGTTTTTTTCCGATTACAGAAATTTTTTGAACCACCTTTTTAACACACCCACTATAAAATACTCAGCTTTATTTTTTCTCCACATTAGCTCTAATATTTAACAGAACACATTCTTCTAAATGACCATTACCACACGATATAGCCATTGCTTGGTCTCCATTAGAGGATTTTGCCACACTAGCTTCATTCCAAAGTTGCTGGTTTTATAAGCACACTGTTCTGTCAGGCTTAGCACTAGCATGTAATTAAAATTTAGGCAAAATGTTTAACAAAACCTACAAAACATTTTAAATTATAATAACTGTAAATGTTGAAGTAATAGTGATATAGTTGCCACAATCAGAGAATTTCCAATGCCTACAAACAACCGGATGGTATGGAGACTGAATAATAATAACTTAATAAAATAATAACAAAGATGTTTCTTCACCAACAAAAGAAGTGTTAACTCATCAGACAATAATTTGAACCCAGCTTACTACCCTTTCAAGCCTACATCTTAGAAATTATACCATGAGTTGTGTTTTTAATTTAAGGGATAAGAATAATTACAATTTTCATGCAATTAATGAGCTTTTATCAATATAGCTCTACATATTCCCAAATTCCTATAATTCAAGTTGAAACAAAATAAAATGTTCTCCCAATAATCTCCTCCCTCCTCTGCCCACAGTTTCTGCCTACAAGAATCTCACCAGTGCTCCATAGGTTGATCAACACTAACTCTCCCAAAACTATTTAGGAAGAGGAGAAAACTTCTACTCCAGTATAATTCAATTTGCTTTTTTTGCTTAAATCTAATAACTTTTGGGTCTGTATCACAGTATAAGTTTATGTAGCTGGGTCTGTTTCTCATTTTTCCCTGTAACTCCTTAGACTATTCATTATAGCACTTGACAGGGAACATGTTGAAAATAAGTTTGCCCTTCATTTAATCAAATTGCAAATCAATGTGGACCTCTTGCTGTCTCTCACTGACCGGGCCTCAAGGCTAATTTCTTTGGTCCAATCAGCCTTCAGTGAAAAGTCAGATATTTTCTAAGGACTAAGATTTGACACATAGCTCGGGCCACTGTCTCTTGCTATAACAGAAGGGGTGATTTATAAAGAGCAGAGATTGATTCAGTTCATAGTTCTGGATGCTGGGAGACCCAAGGACAAGATTGGGTCTTAGATTGCCGCACCAGGGAGAGCCTTCTTGCTAAAAGGGACTCTCTAAGACAGTGCTGGGCATTCCACAGTAACGGGTGAATACAAGAGAGGGAGCCACGCTGGCTGTTCTAACAGATCCACTCTCAAGATAAGCCATTAATCCACTTATAGATGTAGATGAATCATTCATGAGCATGGAGCCTGCATCATCTAATCACTTGCTAAAGGTCTCACCAAGTCCCATTTCTTCATACCCCACAATGGAAATTAAATTTCAACATGAATTTTGGTGGAAGTAGTCAACCAAATTGTACTTACACCACAGCAACATGATATTAATTTCTCTTTTTAAAAAAAAGAACCAAAGGAAAAATCTGGAGTTGCTTTCTGGAATGGAAGAACGGTTCTTGTAAGTTGACTTTCAGTAAACCTGGGAAGCAGTCAAGAGACCATTCTCGATTCTCCAAGATGGGTCGCTGAGCCTCTTAGTGTCTTCTATGTAGAACAAAGCCTTTCCTATGACCTCCAAAGTTGTTAGTGCAATAAACGGGTCTCACAACATAAGTGACATTCAGGAAGCAATTCTAACACTCCTTGAAAAGAGAACTATCTGGTGAGTCTGTGCTTTCCTGTGCTCTGCCCCCAAGCAAGGCACTCAGTTCAATATATTAGTCAAATTGACAACGAACCAAGAAACATACAGAAAGTGACTGACCCAGGGGGGAGTAGACCCCAAAGGTAAAACGGTGTATCTGGAAAGGTCATGATTTACATAGTTATTGCAGCCTGATATTTTGAGACGACAGGAAAAAGGAAAGTATGCTATTTCGCTAACTACAGCAGACATCGGATACTGAACACGCCAACCCCAGCAAGATAAGGAAGAAACAGTGAATTCATCTTAGTTTTTTAAAACCCTGTATATATTTTTTAAACCCTATAGATTTTTCAGTGACTCAACCAGGAGATTTTGGAGCTTTTTAAATCACAAATATATTTTTAATTGAATTTATTGGTACATTCTAGGTAGATAATCACAAATATATTTTATAAGGAATCTTTGAAAGCATATTTTTCTAATGTTATCTTTTTTCTTTTCATCCCTTGCAAAGATTACTAGATATGTTGCCAACTTATTTTCTTTCTTCACTTGCTAGCATTTCTTGGAATTACTTCCTCATCCACACATACAGAGCTTCCTTTTCATCGTTGAAATTTGTGTAGCATGTCAGAGGGTGAATATGCCATGTTTGATTTAACAAATTTCTTACAAGTGGATATTTACATTATTTCCCAGTATAATTTGTATTACTGAAAAGTTTTCTCTACAATCTTGTCAAATCATTTCTTCAGCTACAACCGAGAAGTATGACCATAATCTTGGATAGAGTTGTCAGGCCAAATTTTACTGTCAGATTTCTGTTCATTCCTCTTTTAACAAATATTTGCAAAGAATGGACTATGATCCATAGCTTGCTCTAAAAACTGTAGATACAGTGATGAACATGGCAGATGCTGATTCTGCCCTCACGGAGCATACATCTGACTAGGGAAGGCATTAAATAAACAAATGTGTAAATAAACAAGATAATTTTATAGAGGAATAAATGCTTTGGAGGAAATGCACAGGGCATTGTGATGAAGAGTGACTAACAGGTAGGAAGAGGAGAATTGTATCAAGTTGGTATCAACCGGCAAGATCAGAACCAGTATTAGGCATATGTTGAAATACACATTGAAAAGAACTGACTTGAGAAGGAGAGGTTTAGCTAGGCAAGTCCAAAATCTACAGAGTAGGCAAGCACTTTTGGTGCAGATTAAATCTACTGTCTACACGTGGAGTTTCTTCTTCAAAGAGGTGTTAGTTCTGTTTTTAATTAAGCTTTTTAACTATGAATCATACAAATACACACACACAGACACACACACACACACACACACACACACCCCAGATTATATAGGTTAATCTTTTCTTCAAGTTAACTGCTTATGGATTTTAATCACCTACAAACTGCCTCCACAGTGAAGCCTAGATTGGTGTCCCTTTTTAAGAACTCGAGACTGTAGCTTAACCACATGCACACACCAAAAAGAGCCCCACAGTGATCTGGGTGGGCCAGTCAAAACAAACGGGATCTGAACAAAAACTTGAGGAGAGAAGACAGAGGGAGAAAAGAGTGTGTGGGCCCCAACACTAGAAGAGCACAGCACACTTAAAGTACTGAGTGAGCCCTATGTGCTTCGATGGGTATCAGCTAGCAGAGTCGAGAGCAAAATTAAATGGAGAATGGTGAATTGTGTGAATCCTGGAGGCCATCGAGAAATGTGTGGACTTTATTCTAACAGAGGAAGCCATTAAAAGTTTTAACCCATGGCCAGGGATCTAGCTCAGTGGTTCCGCCGCCTGCCTTGCGAGGGCAAGGACCCGAGTTCGAACCCCAGTACCAAAAAAATAAAATAAAATAAAAGTTTTAACCCGCACAGCAACATATATTGACATGATTATTTTAAAAAATAAACATAATTTTGCTGTGTGGGGAGATTAATTAGAAAAATATCCCAGTGACGGTAGACTGTGGTTTTACCGGGGTGCTGGCGGCAGAAACAGAGGAAAGTTAACAAATTTCAGAAATCTTTTGGAGGTGACCCAAGGTAGATTTTGTTATTTAGCTATTGTTATTCATTCTCCACTGTTTGCCAGCAGAGTCTCAATTGTGTTAAGGTGAAATATGCTGCATCGCAATGCGTGGAGGTGTAAGAATCTGTTGCACTAGGCTTCCAGAAAAGCCCCCTTTTAAGGACAATTCAACGACCTTCACTTTGTACCTTTGACCTCTGCACTT